GTATACCTGAAGCAGCAGGTGTAGCAGAAAAGGCTGTGGCCTCAAACCTTTCCCAGGATTCTCTGCAAGACAGTGACAACTAACCCACCAGCAAAGATCCAATTAAGGGCACTGCTTTCTTACCCAGCTTAGCTCTTCCTACTGTCTCAAGGTGGCCATCAGTGATGGAGAAATCAGGGAGGGACAGAGCACAGAGGCCAGAAAATACAAGCTGAAGTTTTCAAGCTTCAAACCTCTATCTAAATGAGATCTTTCACTGTGGTTATCAGTACATGGAACTGATCAGGATAGGCCAGAAGCCTAACAAACTTTTGAAGTATCTATATAGTGAAAAGATACCACAAACTTGGTTTGCAAAAGCAACCCCTGACCTCCTACCCACCAAATTTCACCAGCAGGAAGGAGGATGCATACGCTGTGCAGCTCCCAAAAGCACTGTCAGCACCTACTCTCCAATGCCCAGTACTAAGTGAGTGCAGAGGATAGAGAAGAGAGAGTTTCTCCTAGAGGGTAGATGCAGGGCTCCCTGTGGACATACTTCATTGCCAGAGCAGGGAGCCTGCATGCCCATCAGAAAAAGAGTGTGAACACTATGACTGGTGACTGCTCCACTTATAACTATATATATTTATTGGAAGGAATTTGGGGCACCTCCCCTGGGGAAGAATGATGTGTTTTATGGTTATCTGCATGACCAAAGAGGTAGCCCATGGCAGAAATGTCTAGTTGCCCCTCCATTTTTTAAGGCAAGAGAACCACTCATTTTTAACTGGCCATGTGCCTCCCAATATAAAGTCTATATTTTTCATCCATTCTTGCAGGTAAGCGTGGCCTGCATGGAAGATCTAATCTAATGGATTGTGAGCAGGAGTGAGGCATGCAATTTCCAGATTGTTTAAAGGAATAAAGCACTTGGCTCCATTTTTTTTCTCCATGCCCACAAGCTGAAATGTGGATGTAGTGGCAAGAACACCACGTTCAAGATGGCAGAGCTGCAAGACTGAAGGAGGCTGGGACCTAACACTATGGATCTACCATATTAGTCCTGGCCTGCTTATCCCCGGCCTATCCCACAAAAGAGAGAAAAACTTCTATCTTGTTTAATCCCTGTTGTTTTGAGTCTCGGTTACAACCACTGAAACTATGTAATTGTACAAATTATTTGACTTAAAATGCAGGCTATTGGGAATATATCAAATTCACTTTGGGAGGCACCTTAAAGTGTCATCTCCCGGAGCAGCCAAAATTGAGCTACAATGGAAAGCCAGGCCTTGACAGGGAACTTTAACAGAAATTTCAAATATAAGCCAAGTAGAAAGCCACAGGGTATAAACCAAATCGCATGTGCTGAATTATGACTACTATGCTTCTCATATCTACAACTCTGAGCAGCTGCAGGAATTTGCAGTGTAGTCACATCATACATGTACTTATCTTGCACAAATTTAACTGTAAATAACAGGGGAGAAAAAGGATAGAGTGAGATTTAAATAGTATGGGCAATTCTGTCACAGTCTCACTCAATGATCATATGCCCTTGCTCAGGCTTAGTCCCCACATGACTTTCAAAGGATAAGCATCTTGTGCTGAGTGTTATTCTGGCATTTAAAGACAAACATATTGTGTTACACATTTTGTTTTCCAATATGGTAATTTTCTAAGGGATTTTTAATGATGATGTTGACTATGCCAAAGCTTCATCTTCCACTCTAACTCAAGAACCCATGCCATGGTAAAATGTGACTTCCCGGTATTAAATAGATGATAGTTAATGATTTACCCCCATTGACCCTGAAAGGCCAGCTGGTCCTAGAATTATATTCTACTGATTCAGTTTTCATTTTTATGTGAATTGTCAAAGAAAGAGAAACAGTCATGCCTTGATGTGGATTTTGCCTCTTCCTTTATATTGTGATTCCATCGGCTGGTTTCAGTTCAATCTAATAGTGAGAAAGTGACTTCAACCCAAGTAGCAAGGTCTGCATACTTCTCCTCTCCAAATGCTCATTTACTTAAAACTTCACCCAGGCTGGCAGTGTCCTCAGCCACTACTAGTGGGAACCTGGTATTTGGAGCAAGATCCTGGGGTGTCTGTGTTTCCTACTGTGACATCTCTCTCATTCTAGGAATAGAAGGGACAGTTCCCAGTCTATTTTCCTGACTCTCTGATTGTGGACATGTAATACTGTGTTTCCCCAAAAGTAAGACGTAGATGGAGAATAAGCCGTAGCATGATTCCTCCAGGACAGTGAGGGCACGCACCCTTCACGTGAGGGTTTTACGACCTGTTTCAGGGAGAAGGGTGCCTTTTCCACAAACTCCTTCAGCTTAAAATATTCAGTATGCCAAGGTGCCATATTTTGTCACCTAAAATCATGCTACGGCTTATTTTCCAGCTAGGTCTTATTTTCAGGAAAACAGGGTACCTGAAATGTTTGCTATAGAGAAGAAATGAAGCAATGCATGTGAAAGTATCTTCTAAAATATAAACCATGTTTTTAGTGCAGTTAATTTTTGTTGATTATGAAAACAAAAATATAGGGTTGGGGGTAAGGGAACCTCCAACCTACCTCTTCAACATGTTATGCTCTCTCACATTTGGTTCCATCTAGAACATTCTTCTCACCTCTTCACCTTCAGGTCTAGGTGTAGTTGTCACTTCCCTGCTCCCTATGCCTGAATCAGGTGCATCTCTTTTCTACTCTCATAGCCTGCCTTACTCACCCCCATAACAGGTACAAAATCAGCAGTGTCAAATGCAACAGGAAGGTCAAAGAACCTAAGTCCTAAAAAGTGTTCAATGGATTTCACAATCAGAAAGTCAGTAGTAATCTTGGCAAGAGGAATTTTAGTGGCGTGACAGAGGAAGCAGAAGCCAGGCTGCAGTGAGGTGGGGAGAAACTAGGAGATGAGAAGTCAGTGATGATGAATGCAGACAACTTTTACAAAGATTGGCCTGAAGGGGGGAAAGCAATAGGACAGAAGCTAAAAGGTGGTAAGGTTTTAAGGACATATTTTTTTAAGTCCTAACTGATTCTTTTTTTCCCACCCCACACAACTCCCAAATGGACAATTTGCCTACAATTCTCACTTTGCTATAAGCTCCTTCAGGACAAGTCTTGTGTCTTAATTGTCTTTTTATGCCACACATTTCTCTGTACATGGCTGTTTGTTGAACAAATGAATGAAATGCAAATTCAACAGAAGTGATAATAAGGAAATGCAGGGATATTGGGATACAGCTAGGGTTTGTTCTTTCAAGGGAAGCGGTGGTTGTTTGAAAACTCAGGAGCATGAAAAAAACAAACCCAGACAATCTTCTCTCATTAATACTTATAAACATTTGACCCAGGGAGGCAGATGTAGATTTGGTCCAGTTTAGATTTTGGAGACTAATGGAAAACAGATCTTTAGATTTAAGGGTGTCTGCACTCCCAGAAGCTGTTGAAGATCTGTACTGGATTCTCAGCACTGCCAGTAAGTACTGTTCCTGTAAATTATTTAACAGCCTGAACTTCTGTTTTCTCATTGGCAACCTGAAGATGCCCAAATAAGAGCATCTATCTCATAGGGCTGCAGTAGTATAAATGAGATACCCCAAGTGAAGATACCTCATGATGCTTGGCAAAACGGCACTCAGTATTTGAATAAGATACATAAAGTACTACTAAAATGAATAAAAATATTAATGGGAATGAGCTTCAGAAGAGTTGGGTATAAGTCAAATTTTATTTTAAATAAACAAAACTTGTTCTTTAGAAAAACTCGTTAGAAAACGTTTTATAAAAGTGAGTGATCAGCCCCGATTTATCTGTTTTATAAATCCACCCTTCCGTATATCGTGTACTGAAAAATCTGTTTCAAAGATTCACTCTATATCCGAGTGAAACGGCCCAATTCAGTCAGTCCGTTAACATGCCTTAGCGGTGGGGGAGGGACAGGGGAAGGTGGTGCATTCATTTCCTGGCCTGCAACGACTGCTTGCACAAGAGCGCCTGTGGGTACGTAGTTTCTGTTCTAATGAATATGCTGCTCCAGTTCCCTCGGTGGAACAAATCCAGAAGCACCACTGGGCAAAGGCTAGCTATCCGTTTCAAAAGCCTGAGCCCCAGCAACCAGGCTGCGCAAGGGCAGGAGGAGCTCGGTCCCAATGCAAACTAGGGGGTGGAGAATGAGACTTCCCAACCATCTCCTGGGATCCGCTGGCCTGACGCACTAGGGGGCGGGTGCACCTTCCACCCCAGCCGAAGAAGCGTCGGGCTCGGAGCCAGCGGGAAGTGCCAGTCCCAGACCAGAATAGCAGGCAACCCCAGCGAGATGCGAGGGGGTTCAGAAGTAGACGGCGGCCTCTAACCTTTCCGGGTTAAGGCGACTGCACTTCGCTCTGTAACAGTATCTTCAGCCGCAGGAAAGGTTAACGTAAATGTCAGAGGCCCCGGGAGGGAAGGAGGAAGGAAGAGACGAGGAGTGGAGGGAGGGGCAGGAGGCGGAAGCGGACTCCCCAAGGTCAAGCCCTACTCCCCAGCTCGCGCCTCACCGCCCCCAGGGAGTCAGAACGGCGGCTCTCCACGGCCAAGTGGCCACTTTCGGGCACACGGCGACCTCCTCCGGACCTCCTAGCCAGCAGGAGCGAGGGGTGGAGACCAAAGCCGCCGCGCATGGAAGCGGCCCGGCCTGAGCGAGGCAAGGAAGCGAGCTGGCGATGCCGGCCGCACGTAGCGCACGCCCTAGAGGAGCCGACGCGTCTCTTACCCCGTTGGCTGCGGCGATGCGAACGATGAGCAGGACGGCCTCCTTCATGTAGAACCTGCCGTCCCCCCCCACCACTAGGGTGGCCTCCTGCCGCTGCGCGGGCTCCACGGTGGAGATGATACTCTGGATGAAGTTCTCCGCGTAGTTGGGGCTGCTCTGGAACACCTTCACCCTCTTCCGCAGCCCGCTGGTGCCCGGCTTCTGGTCCGGGTACGCCTGGGTCTTAACGGTCACGATCTTCACCATGGTGGCGACTTGCTTCCTTACGGAGGGAGCAGACCCTGTTAACCGAGGGACGGCCGGAGCAGTGCTTGCAGCTGCTGTGGGGTGAGGGCGCGGGCGGGGTAGGTAGGGGCAACGCCAGCTCAGGGCTGCGCTCGGCCCTTCTTAAAGGGACAGGGGCCAACCCTCCCCCGCCGCCAGCCCACCTCCAAGCACATCCGAGAGGGAGGGGTAAAAGGGAGCGCACACCTCCAGGCCTCAGGAGAAATGGGTGGAGCCTTTCTGATCCCCCCCCCCCCCAACCAAGCCACTATAAAATCAAATCCGCTACTTCTCCCCTAAATGGAAGGGCAGAGGTTGGGGTGGGACAAGAACCTGAGAGAGGGTGGGAAAAATACAAAAGTATAACGACTTCCTGTGGTTTGGCTAGAGTATCATGTGTAAATAACTTTTGGAAATCTGAGGGATAGAAGTGCCAATCTTACCTATTTTTTATGACTCCTTTCTAAGTATTAGGTATTTGTGTTAAGAAAAGAAGTCAACTCTCATTAAAAGTAATTCAACCTACTGTCTTTACTGATGGATCACACACTTCCATTAGTTAGGGTGGGTATACTAATAACTAAGGTGTACTGAATATAATGTTTCTAATCCTTGCTAAAGTACAGGGTCACTCCCCCCTCCCCCATTTTATGCTTACAAAACTGAGATTCAAAAAATAGGATGGCTCGTCAAGTCCGTAGAGATAAGTGCATGCAGGAGGCCAGTTCACGAGGGTGTGGCTCCAAAAACCAGGGCTCTTACCCTGATTTGCCCGCGGTGTCACCAGATTTGACGTCTAGAAAATAAATGTACAGGGACACCTTGGTAAATATAGGTGCAAATATAAGACTGAATATGATTACCGTCAAAACATGCCAGTTATTCATGTAATAGAAATTTGGTGATGAGATCAAGAAAGGGTTCATGGAGGATACAGTCAATGAAGGGACTCAATTATTTAGTAGGAATCTTGAGTTTGGCATCTCCCTTGATTTGGTGAGAGTGATTGTCTCCTCTGCTCAAGAATTGTGTCACTTTGGTAAAGTGGAGAAAAATTGGCTTTTCCTTCCTACTTAACATGTGTGATCTGGGGAAAGTTAGTTAATATCTGTGGGCATACATTTCTTTACTATAAAATGGTTATAAAACCTATCTTAGAGAATTTCTGCAAGAATTTTGGGGGTTTTGTATGTCAGTAGTTCTCAATCATGGATGCACAGTAGAATCACCTGATACACTTGAAGCTACCCATACTCCAGTCCAAACACATTCGATCATAATCATCAGATGTAAGAAAATCACCTAGCATGATGCCTGAAACATAGAGATCCTCAAAAAATATTAGCTCCCCTTCCCCAGTTCCAAAACCAGAACTTACCCTTAAGCTGTGAATTTGATTATATTCATGCCCTTTTAATGGTTAGCATATATCTTGATCAAGCAGGGAGGGTGACAGACGCATATGACTGCTGACTCTCAGAAACCAAGTGTTGAAATACATGTTGATATAGGTGTTATGTCAGTATAAATATGGGTTTTGATATAGTCAATGATATATGAGTTTCAGGAGCAAATAACATGTGAAAACTGAATCCTAGACTGCTGGTAAGGATTTCTAATATTTACACAGAAATTCACAAAGCTTATAGAGTAGTATCATCTTGTGAATTAAGTAGTATAATCAACCCCATTTTATAGGCTGGAGAATTGATAGGATGGTGAATGTAATCAAAGCTACCTAACTCCACAAAATGAAAATATAGCATAGATTCACTGAGTCTTAGAAATACCTACCTCATGGAGTTGTATGGATTAAATTAGATACTGAATCTAGAGCTCCTAAGAATACTAGTAAGTGCTCAAATGGTAACTCATAAAGTGGATGGTAACTCATTATTATAAAGTGGTGGGTTCAAGTTCAGATCCCATGTTCATTCTATATTCTTCACTAGGATGGGGCTTTTCATTTAAGAGGCATTGTTCCCTACTTCTCTCACCTCAGAGGTTTAACAGCTTTAACGACATAACAAGCCATTCTTAAACTTAGCGGCTTACGACAATAACTATTATTATGATTGCTCATGATATGAGTTAACTGGGCGGGTCTACTGATTTGGGCAAGACTGCTGATCTTGGCTGGGTCCCTGTGGCAGGTGGGCCCATGATCCTGGTCTTCTGGTAACCATGCCTAATGAAGTGCATCTACAAAAACACCTTCAGTAGACATCATATTAATGGTGAAGGACTGAATACTTTCCTCCCTAAGATTGGGAACAAGGTAAGGATATCTACTTTTGTCATTCTTATTCAACATAATTATGGAAGTCTTAGCCAATGCAATAAAGCAAGAAAAAAGAAAAGGCATACAGATTGGAAAGAAAGAAATGGAACTGTCCCTCTTCACAGATGACAATTTTTTCTATGTAGAAAATCCCAAGGAATCTAAAAAAAAAAATCCTAGAACTAATAAATGAGCTTAGCAAGTCTCAGGATATAAAACCAACACCACATAAAAATCAATCACATTTTTATATACTAACAGAACAACTGGAAACAGAAATTTTAAAATGCCATTTACATTAGCTCATAAAATATTTAGATATAAATCTAATGAAAGATGTATAAAATTTGCTAAAAACTATAAAATGATGATGAAATTAAAGAAAACCTAAATAATAAATGGAGAGGCATACCACCATGTTCATGGATTGAATGCATCAACACAATAAACATGTCAGTTGCCCCCAAATGATCAATACATTCAACACAGCATGAATCAAATCCCAAGAGTGTTTTTGTAGATATAAACAAGCTACTTCTAAAATTTACTTGGAAAGGGAAAGAAACTAGAATAGCTAGAATGATTTTGAAAAAGAACAATGAAATTAGAGGAATCACATTACCTGATTATCAGACTTACCACATTTAAAGATACAGTAATCAGGACAGTGTACTATTTGTTAAAGGAAAGATACATAGATCAATGGAACAAAATAGTCCAGAAACAGACCCGCACAAATATATGGAACTATATGGTTAGTTGATTTTCAACAAAGGCACAAGAGCAAATTAATGTAGAAAGAATAATCTTTTTATCAGCAAATGGTGCTGGAATAATTGACATCATATTGAAAAAAAATGAACCTCAACCTAAACCTCATAATTCAGAGAAAAATTAACTCAAAATTGACTATAGGTATAAACATGCAAGGTAAAATTATAAAACTTTTAGAAGAAACCAGGAGAAAATCTTTGTGACCTGAGGTTAGGCAATAATTTCTTAGACTTGACACCAAACACATGACCCATTAAAGGAAAAATTGATAAATTGGACTCCATCAAAATTAAAAAATGCTTGCCCTCCATGTGATATATATATCTAGTTCAGAGAATAAAAAGACAAGCTACAGACTAGTAGAAAATATTTGTAAATCACATATCCAACAAAAGATATATACAGAATTTATAAAGAACCCTCAAAACTCAACAGTAAGAAAACAAACAACCCAATTTAAAATGGTCAAAAGACTTGAAAGAGATACCTCACTGAAGAGGATATATACAGATGGCAAAGAAGCATGTGAAAAGTTGCTCAACATTATTAGTCCTTAGGGAAATGCAAATTAAAACCACTATGAGATACTACTGCACAACTATTAGAATGGCTAAAATGAAAAGTACTGATGATACCAGGTGCTAATGAGGATGCAGAACAACTGGAACTCTCATACATTGCTGGGTAGAAATGCAAAATGGTACAGCCATCATGGAAAATACTTTGGCAGTTTCTTCAAAAGTCAAACATACACTTACTCTATAACCCAGCAATCTCACCTTTGGGTATGTACTCTAGAGAAATGAAAATGTATGTTCACCTAAGAACCTGTACATAAATGTTTAGAGCAGCTCTTTTAATACTGCCCCACATTGGAAACAACCAAACAGAGGAATGAATAAACAAATTTTGCTACATCCATATGATGAAATACTGCTCAGCAATAAAAGGAACAAATTATTTGTAGAACATGGAAGATTCTCAAGGACGTTATACTGAGTGAAAGAATTCAATCTCAAAAGGTTACATGCTGCGTGATCCCTCTATGATATTCTCAAAAAGAGAAAACCAGTGATGGAACACAGGTCAGTGATTGTCAGGCGCTGGGGTGTGGGAAGGAGATAGGAGAGAGAGAGATGGAGGGGAGACTTAATATTATTCCTTAATAGGCTAACATGTAAGTCATTTTCTCTTTTCTTAAGGACAGAGATCATGTATACTACTTCTCTACTATAACTCATGCAATATACGCGGTCAGACAATTAAGTTCTCAAGCTCATCCTAGGAAAAGTGCTACATACCTCATTGCTGACTATCACTGCAGACACCTTCGAAGTACCCCCCTTGGGAAGCTATGCACTGATGCCAGTGCCTAGTCCACCCCTTCAAAGCAATTTTGGAACTCTTTCTGGAATGGCCATCAGAACTGTCGTCATATTACCCTTGATACCCGAATGTCACCAAAATGTCTTCCTTTCAACATTTCCTTTATCTTCAAGTAAAGAAAGAAGTCACTGGGGGCCAGATCAGGTGAGTAGGGAGGATGCTCCAATACAGTTATTTGTTGACTGTCTAAAAACTGCCTCACAGACAGTATCGTGTGAGCTGGTGCATTTTCGTGATGCAAGAGCCATGAATTGTTGGTGAAAAATTCAGGTCATCTAACTTTTTCACGCAGCCTTTTCAGCACTTCCAGATAGTAAACTTGGTTAACTGTTTGTCCCATTGGTACAAATTCATAATGAATAATACCTCTGATATCAAAAAAGGGTTAGCAACATCACTGCAACAAGTTCAAGAACTTAATTTTCACACCTTGTATAACAGATAATTGCTAGTTGTATGTCCCTAGTTACCATTCACCAGCCTACTTGTCTCCTACAATTGTTACTTCTCTGCTAAGAAAACAATTCTTTCAAAGGCTAAATCCAGAAGTTTTTGCAACAGATGTTTGATGTTTAAAAAAGGTACAGATGTTTAAAAAGATATTTACTTTTTAGTCATTTTGCATATTCATATCTGAAATTGCCAGAAAGTTTATAATGCTAGTATTCTGTAACTGGCTCTATTGCATTTACATTCTATGTTGACATTAGCCTCATTCACATGATTGAATTTAAGCTGCCCTTGAACTTAAGTTGGTTGATCTTGTGTTAAATTGTAAGGAATAAAATTAAGAATATGTATAAAATGTTGGTTATTTGTCAATTGTGTCTAAAATAATTTGAAAAATATATATAAGATATATACTACAGATATATATTAATATATGGTATATATTAACATGTATTAATATATATTATATAAATATAAGTCTTGGGGGAATGGAATTATATCTCTAACTCCTTTAGAACATGTATATGTAGGTCTTCTGTTTAATATTCATATGTATCTTTTGAAATGTATTATGTAAAAAATAGAGTGCCTATGTTTAACATACAAATTCACTGTGTGTAGCCAGCAGCCAGCGTGAGCGGCCAGCAGCCGCAGTGAGCGGCCGTCCAGAAGCCGGCAACTGATCTGCCTCGCCCGGGAAGAGCGCAATGATGGTGCCAACTTGGGCCAGTGAAGCAACATCCTCCACAACTAGACTGAAGAACAAAAGGACAGCAACTTGTCTGTTCCCCTTCCCCCAATTCCCCAGTGCTGTTCCCATCCCCAATTCCCCAATAAAAATCTTTAAAAAAAAAAAAAAGAATGCCTATTCTTTATCTTCCTTAGACAATACTAGCCATAGTTCATAAGTATAGACACTTCAAAGTAACCAAAATCCTTTATCCCTTTAACTATTCCTACTTCCTGGACCCTAAATTGTCTCTGCATGTGAACCTCATTTACTTTCCCTAAATCAGTTCCACTATTTACCTTACTTCTCTGAAAATCATTATGTAGTTTGTTAAGAAATTAAGCTAGGCTGAGTAGCAAACATAGGCTAACAGGGCTATCTCCAGATGCCCTGATATTTGTAACTTCACGAAGAAGTTGTCAAAGGTTCAGATATAACAGAAGTAAAGCCAACGAATCACTGAAGTAGTGATTACTGTGAGCTCGCCAAAAAGGCAGCATGCAAACTGGGAGTGCTCAAACCAAAACATGGAGTGAGGCGCAGGGGTATATTGTTATAAGGCAGCTTACTTACTACACAGTGGGAAAGCAGTGACTGTTTATTCTTCACAGTTACTGGTTACAGTATTAGAATTTTCAGTGGCTACTTCCTATCAATCTTGGGAAACAGTTCAAGTTTTACTTACGATTTCCAGAGGCATAAGCAAGAAACGGCTCAGGTCAATCTAGTCTTGCAAAGCAAGCTAAATTAAGGTTTATTTCTATGGCTAAACTGGTTTTGTCTGCTCAGGGAATTTTCAAGACTGTTCTTCATTTTTTTTTTAACAAAGTGAAAGTACCCTTTTAAGAGCAAACGACTTGGTATCCACTTTACAATTTAGGAATAATTTCATATATTCTCTAATAAGAAGAGGTATATATGCCTGTGTATGGATATATCCACAGTATACAATATATTTCACCAAAGCAATCTTAGATGTTGCAGAGGACTTAATCCAGTGCTAAGAAACATTATCAGTCTCTCTGTCTGTGTCTTTCCCCCTGATGAATAAAATATTGGGTTGTTGGAAAAGTCATGACACATTTTTGCAACGAAAACCATAGAAAAAATACGTCATGACTTTTCCGACAACCCAATAATATGCTCACCCTCTGGTGGTCAAAATCAGAAATATATTTCCATTTTCCTGGTTCATATCCAAAATATGATTAGTATGGTGTATTGTTTCTGCTTCATAGTTAACCTACACCAAAAATAGACCTAAAAGGTGGCCACTGGCTTAAAAAACAAAACAAAAGGTCTACTCAACATCTTATGGAAAGCCAACCAAATTATTAAATAATTTAAGAATTGCTTCTGACAGCATTTGATACTGAACATTAATTTGGTTTTAAAATATTAGAACTGTAGAATTTTAAAGTAGGAAGGAATTACTGATCAGCTAGTCTATTCCCCTCCCATTTAAAACTGCACACATAATCAGTGAAACAAATTTTTTTTCATTTTGTTTTAATTGCTTTTTAATCTGTTAATAAAAGACATGAAAAACAAAGTCTGAATACATGGGATTAAATAGCAAAGAGACCTTTTATCTTATATTTCTATTTTCAATTTACAAATAGCCCTAAGAATTAGGAAAAATACATACCTCATATAAAATTTTCTGCCCACTTTATTCAACCATCCAATAAATATTTATTGCATATCTACTATGTTTTTAATGGCATATGCTAGAATTATAACTGTCCCTGCTTCCAGCCTAGTGAAGGGTACAGATAAACAATAATTCCAGTACAGTATAATGAATGTGACAACAGAGTGAACATAAAGTATTATATTAAGGCCATGAAAGTAGTCTTGGTTGGGGGAGTAATCAGGAAAGAATTCTGGAAAAAGTGATGTATTCGCTGAGATCTGAAGCAAGAAGAGAGAAGAGGGAGGGAAAAAATCTTCAACAGGCACATAGGAAACATTACATCCAAAGGACCTGAGGTGAGACAAAATGTGGAAATTGGGAGAAGCTACAGAACTGTGGTTGAAAAGGAGTCTGACTAGAACGGTCAGAGGTGTGAAGAAAATCTGAAGAATATGGTGTCTCAGAAAGATCAACAATGTCTAACACTGGAGAGAAGACATTAAAGTACCCTCTGGATTTAATGACAAGGAAGTTATCAGTGTCTGAGGGGGAACAACCACTAGTTGAATTAACTGGAAAGAATGAATGGGAGTCAAGAAAGTGTGCATTGCAAATGTGGACAACAGAAATAATGATAGAGAGAGATAGGAAGGAAAGGTTTCTTAAAGAGCCTAGAACATATGGAAATAATAATTGGAAAAAGTCGCCATAGAGGGAGTGTTTGTAGATAAAACTCATTCCTAGGAAGCTTTAATGCAGAGGCTAAGGAGACAGGCAGGGATGGGACCTAGAACAGGAAAAATTGGGAGCATCTAGATGTCTTTCTGGTAAGCTGCATCTTTGTGCTTTTTAAATTAAATGACATACAAAGTCACCTTTGAAAATAAGATGGTTAATCTGCATGAAACTACCATGAAAAAGGGAAGCACCTCTTGAATTTAAAGAAAACATTCTTCTTTTTTTAAAGATTTTTATTGGGGAATTGGGGGGATGGGAACAGTGCTGGGGAATTGGGGGAAGGGGAACAGACAAGTTGCTGTCTTTTTGTTCTTCAGTCTAGTTGTGGAGGATGTTGCTTCACTGGCCCAAGTTGGCACCATCATTGCGTTCTTCCCCGGGTGAGGCAGATCAGTCTCTGGCCTCTGGATGGCCGCTCACGGCGGCTTGAGGGCCTCTCACGCTGGCTGCTGGCTACACACGGGTAGCCCATGGCAACCCACTGCCACAGGGGCTGCAGCCTATGCCGTCGCCGGCGACTCACGGCAGCCCAGCTCCAGGTTGAGCTGTTGTTCAGCATCTTAGCTGTGGAGGGCAGTGTCACTGGCCCTCATATGTGGGATCCGAACCAGGGCCCTCTGGCATCCCAAGCCAGTTCTTAACCATCGCGCCACTCGGCCAGCCCCATTCTTTTTTTTTAAATTAGTTTATTGGAGTGACAATTGTTAGCAAAGTTACATAAATTTCAGGTGTACAATTCTGTAATAAATCACCTATATATCACATTGTGTGTTCACCACCCAGTCAGTTCTCTTTCTATTACCATATATTTGATCCTCTTTACCCTCATCTACCACCCCCCAGCCCCCTTACCCTCTGGTAACCAGTAAATTATTGTCTGTGTCTATGAGTTTTGTTTCCTCATTTGTTTTTCTTGTTCTTTTGCTGTAGAAAACATTCTTATGTGTTAATCAATTATATTTGGTTGGATAAAGAATTATTATCAACCTATGATCAAGTATTTTGGGACTTGAATTAAATTTTTCTAGATATGCTCATACCACTGATAAAAAAAGACCCCAAAGAGCTTTTTGTTTATGTGGAATATTAAAGGCTGATATTTACTTTATTAAAAATTAAAATTTTTAGGATGCTTCAGTGAACTTTTATAATTTGAAAATCTGTCATAATTTTTTGTCTTTTAAATACCTTATAGTGGTGACACTTGAAATATTCCTTTTTTTAAAACTCTGATTGGTCTCAAAATGATGCCACATCTTAACCGATATCACGATATTATAGGAAAATGTTACATAGGACAAGATAAGGTACATTATTAACATCTATAAAGCCGAGACGAGGTATATTTCATCCTATTATTGCCAATAAGTTCAGGAGCAGACTCCTCGTC